GTTGGAGGATAGGCGGGTGTTGAAGGGTAGGCGGGTGTGGGAGGATAGGCGGGTGTGGGAGGGTAGGCGGGTGTTGGAGGATAGGCGGTGTTGGAGGATAGGCGGGTGTTGGAGGGTAGGCGGGTGTGGGAGGATAGGCGGGGTGTGGGAGGATAGGCGGGTGTTGGAGGATAGGCGGGTGTGGAGGGTAGGCGGGTGTTGGAGGATAGGCGGGTGTTGAGGATAGGCGGGTGTTGGAGGATAGGCGGGTGTTGAGAGTAGGCGGGTGTGGGAGGGTAGGCGGGTGTTGGAGGATAGGCGGGTGTTGGAGAGTAGGCGGGTGTGGGAGGGTAGGCGGTGTTGGAGGATAGGCGGGTGTTGAGAGTAGGCGGGTGTGGGAGGGTAGGCGGGTGTTGGAGGATAGGCGGGTGTTGGAGGGTAGGCGGGTGTTGGAGAGTAGGCGGGTGTGGGAGGGTAGGCGGGTGTTGGAGGATAGGCGGGTGTTGGAGGATAGGCGGGTGTTGGAGGATAGGGGGGGTGTTGGAGGATAGGCGGGTGTTGGAGGATAGGCGGGTGTTGGAGGGTAGGCGGGTGTTGGAGAGTATGCGGGTGTGGGAGGGTAGGCGGGTGTTGGAGGGTAGGCGGGTGTGGGAGGATAGGCGGGTGTGGGAGGGTAGGCGGGTGTTGGAGGATAGGCGGGTGTGGAGGGTAGGCGGGTGTTGGAGGATAGGCGGGTGTGGGAGGGTAGGCGGGTGTGGGAGGATAGGCGGGTGTGGGAGGGTAGGCGGGTGTTGGAGGATAGGCGGGTGTTGGAGGATAGGCGGGTGTTGGAGGGTAGGCGGGTTTGGAGAGTAGGCGGGTGTGGGAGGGTAGGCGGGAGTGGGAGGGTAGGCGGGGTGTTGGAGGATAGGCGGGTGTTGGAGAGTAGGCGGGTGTGGGAGGGTAGGGGGTAGTGGGAGGGTAGGCGGGTGTTGGAGGATAGGCGGGTGTTGGAGAGTAGGCGGGTGTGGGAGGGTAGGCGGTGTTGGGGGTAGGCGGGTGTTGGAGGGTAGGCGGGTGTTGGAGGGTAGGCGGGTGTGGGAGGATAGGCGGGTGTGGGAGGATAGGCGGGTGTGGGAGGATAGGCGGGTGTTGGAGGGTAGGCGGGTGTGGGAGGGTAGGCGGGTGTGGGAGGATAGGCGGGTGTGGGAGGATAGGCGGGTGTTGGAGGGTAGGCGGGTGTGGGAGGATAGGCGGGTGTTGGAGGATAGGCGGGTGTTGGAGGGTAGGCGGGTGTTGGAGGGTAGGCGGGTGTGGGAGGATAGGCGGGTGTGGGGGATAGGCGGGTGTTGGAGGGTAGGCGGGTGTGGGAGGATAGGCGGGTGTGGGAGGATAGGCGGGTGTTGGAGGATAGGCGGGTGTTGGAGGGTAGGCGGGTGTTGGAGGGTAGGCGGGTGTGGGAGGGTAGGCGGGTGTGGGAGGATAGGCGGGTGTTGGAGGGTAGGCGGGTGTGGGAGGGTAGGCGGGGTGTGGGAGGATAGGCGGGTGTGGGAGGGTAGGCGGGTGTTGGAGGGTAGGCGGGGTGTTGGAGGATAGGCGGGTGTTGGAGGATAGGCGGGTGTTGGAGGATAGGCGGGTGTGGGATGGTAGGCGGGTGTGTGAGGGTAGGCGGGTGTGTCATGGTAGGCGGGTGTGGGATGGTAGGCGGGTGTGGGAGGGCAGGCGGGTGTGTGAGGGTAGGCGGGTGTGTCATGGTAGGCGGGTGTGGGAGGGTAGGCGGTTGTGGGAGGGCAGGCGGGTGTGGGATGGTAGGCGGGTGTGGGAGGATAGGCGGGTGTTGGAGGGTAGGCGGGTGTTGGAGGATAGGCGGGTGTTGGAGGATAGGCGGGTGTTGGAGGGTAGGCGGGTGGAAGGAAGGTAGGGGTGTAGGAGGGTAGGCGGGTGTTGGAGGATAGGCGGGTGTTGGAGGGTAGGCGGGTGTAGGAGGGTAGGCGGGTGTTGGAGGATAGGCGGGTGTTGGAGGGTAGGCGGGTGTTGGAGGATAGGCGGGTGTGGGAGGGTAGGCGGGTGTAGGAGGGTAGGCGGGTGTGGGAGGGTAGGCGGGTGTGGGAGGGTAGGCGGGTGTAGGAGGTAAGCGGGTGTAGGTGGGTAGGCGGGTGTAGGAGGGTAGGCGGGTGTAGGATGGTAGGCGGGTGTGGGAGTGTAGGCGGGTGTAGGAGGGTAGGCGGGTGTGGGAGAGTAGGCGGGTGTGGGAGAGTAGGCGGGTGTGGGAGGGTAGGCGGGTGTTGGAGGATAGGCGGGTGTTGGAGGGTAGGCGGGTGTAGGAGGGTAGGCGGGTGTTGGAGGATAGGCGGGTGTTGGAGGGTAGGCGGGTGTTGGAGGAATAGGCGGGTGTGGGAGGGTAGGCGGGTGTAGGAGGGTAGGCGGGTGTGGGAGGGTAGGCGGGTGTGGGAGGGTAGGCGGGTGTAGGAGGGTAAGCGGGTGTAGGTGGGTAGGCGGGTGTAGGAGGGTAGGCGGGTGTAGGATGGTAGGCGGGTGTGGGAGTGTAGGCGGGTGTAGGAGGGTAGGCGGGTGTGGGAGGGTAGGCGGGTGAAGGAAGGTAGGCGGGTGTAGGAGGGTAGGCGGGTGTAGAAGGGTAGGCGGGTGTAGGATGGTAGGCGGGTGTGGGAGGTAGGCGGTGTGTAGGAGGGTAGGCGGGTGTGGGAGGGTAGGCGGGTTGTAGGAGGGTAGGCGGGTGTGGGAGGGTAGGCGGGTGTAGGAGGGTAGGCGGGTGTGGGAGGGTAGGGGGTGTAGGAGGGTAGGCGGGTTGTAGGAGGGTAGGCGGTGTGTGGGATGGTTGGCGGGTGTAGTGAGGGTAGGCGGGTGTGGAGGGTAGGCGGGTGTTGGAGGGTAGGCGGGTGAAGGAAGGTAGGCGGGTGTCGGAGGGTAGGCGGTGTAGGAGGGTAGGCGGGTGTAGGATGGTAGGCGGGTGTGGGAGGGTGGCGGTGTGGGAGGGTAGGCGGGTGTAGGAGGGTAGGCGGGTGTGGGGAGGGTAGGCGGGTGTGGGAGGGTTGGCGGGTGTAGGAGGGAAGGCGGGTTGTGGGAGGGTAGGCGGGTGTGGGAGGGTAGGCGGGTGGTAGGAGGGTAGGCGGGTGTAGGAGGGTAGGCGGGTGTAGGAGGGTAGGCGGGTGTAGGAGGGTAGGCGGGTGTAGGAGGGTAGGCGGGTGTAGGAGGGTAGGCGGGTGTGGGAGGGTAGGCGTGTGTAGGAGGGTAGGTGGGTGTGGGAGGGTAGGCGGGTGTAGGAGGGTAGGCGGGTGTTGGAGGGTAGGCGGGTGTAGGAGGGTAGGCGGGTGTAGGAGGGTAGGCGGGTGTAGGAGGGTAGGCGGGTGTAGGAGGGTAGGCGGGTGTAGGAGGGTAGGCGGGTGTAGGAGGTAGGCGGGTGTAGGAGGGTAGGCGGGTGTAGGAGGGTTGGCGGGTGTAGGAGGGTAGGCGGGTGTGAGGGTAGGCGGGTGTAGAGGGTAGGCGGGTGTAGGAGGGTAGGCGGGTGTAGGAGGGTAGGCGGGTGTAGGAGGGTTGGCGGGTGTAGGAGGGTAGGCGGGTGTGGGAGGGTAGGCGGGTGTGGGGGGTTGGCGGGTGTTAGGAGGGAAGGCGGGTGTGGGAGGGTAGGCGGGTGTGGGAGGGTAGGCGGTGTAGGAGGGTAGGCGGGTGTTAGGAGGGTTAGGCGGGTGTAGGAGGGTAGGCGGGTGTAGGAGGGTAGGCGGGTGTGAGGAGGGTAGGCGGGTGTAGGAGGGTTGGCGGGTGTAGGAGGGTAGGCGGGTGTAGGAGGGTTGGCGGGTGTAGGAGGGTAGGCGGGTGTGTAGGAGGGTAGGCGGGTGTAGGAGGGTAGGCGGGTGTGGGAGGGTAGGCGGGTGTAGGAGGGTAGGCGGTGTAGGAGGGTTGGCGGGTGTAGGAGGGTAGGCGGGTGTGGGAGGGTAGGCGGGTGTGTGGGAGGGGTTGGCGGGTGTAGGAGGGAAGGCGGGTGTGGGAGGGTAGGCGGGTGTGGGAGGGTAGGCGGGTGTAGGAGGGTATGCGGGTGTAGGAGGGTAGGCGGGTGTAGGAGGGTAGGCGGGTGTAGGAGGGTAGCGGGTGTAGGAGGGTAGGCGGGTGTAGGGGTAGGCGGGTGTAGGAGGGTAGGCGGGTGTAGGAGGGTTGGCGGGTGTAGGAGGGTAGGCTTGTGTAGGAGGGTAGGCGGGTGTAGGAGGGTAGGCGGGTGTGTAGGAGGGTAGGCGGGTGTAGGAGGGTTGGCGGGTGTAGGAGGGTAGGCGGGTGTTGGAGGGTAGGCGGGTGTGGGAGGGTAGGCGTGTGTAGGAGGGTAGGTGGGTGTGGGAGGGTAGGCGGGTGTAGGAGGGTAGGCGGGTGTGGGAGGGTAGGCGGGTGTAGGAGGGTAGGCGGGTGTAGGAGGGTTAGGCGGGTGTGGGAGGGTAGGCGGGTGTGGGAGGGTAGGCGGGTGTGGGAGGGTAGGCGGGTGTAGGAGGGTAGGCGAGTGTGGGAGGGTAGGCGGGTGTAGGAGGGTAGGCGGGTGTAGGAGGGTAGGCGGGTGTAGGAGGGTAGGCGGGTGTGGGAGGGTAGGCGGGTGTGGGAGGGTAGGCGGGTGTGGGAGGGTAGGCGAGTGTGGGAGGGTAGGCGGGTGTGGGAGGGTAGGCGGGTGTAGGAGGGTAGGCGGGTGTAGGAGGGTAGGCGGGTGTGGGAGGGTAGGCGGGTGTGGGAGGGTAGGCGGGTGTTGGAGGGTAGGCGGGTGTGGGAGGGTAGGCGGGTGTGGGAGGGTAGGCGGGTGTGGGAGGGTAGGGGGGGTGTTGGAGGATAGGCGGGTGTTGGAGGGTAGGCGGGTGTTGGAGGATAGGCGGGTGTGGGAGGGTAGGCGGGTGTTAGGAGGGTAGGCGGGTGTGGGAGGGTAGGCGGGTGGGGGTAGGGTAGGCGGGTGTAGGAGGGTAAGCGGGTGTAGGTGGGTAGGCGGGTGTAGGAGGGTAGGCGGGTGTAGGATGGTAGGCGGGTGTGGGAGTGTAGGCGGGTGTAGGAGGGTAGGCGGGTGTGGGAGGGTAGGCGGGTGAAGGAAGGTAGGCGGGTGTAGGAGGGTAGGCGGGTGTAGAAGGGTAGGCGGGTGTAGGATGGTAGGCGGGTGTGGGAGGGTAGGCGGGTGTAGGAGGGTAGGCGGGTGTGGGAGGGTAGGCGGGTGTAGGAGGGTAGGCGGGTGTGGGAGGTTAGGCGGGTGTAGGAGGGTAGGCGGGTGTGGGAGGGTAGGCGGGTGTAGGAGGGTAGGCGGGTGTAGGAGGGTAGGCGGGTGTGGGATGGTTGGCGGGTGTAGGAGGGTAGGCGGGTGTGGGAGGGTAGGCGGGTGTTGGAGGGTAGGCGGGTGAAGGAAGGTAGGCGGGTGTCGGAGGGTAGGCGGGTGTAGGAGGGTAGGCGGGTGTAGGATGGTAGGCGGGTGTGGGAGGGTAGGCGGGTGTGGGAGGGTAGGCGGGTGTAGGAGGGTAGGCGGGTGTGGGAGGGTAGGCGGGTGTGGGGAGGGTTGGCGGGTGTAGGAGGGAAGGCGGGTGTGGGAGGGTAGGCGGGTGTGGGAGGGTAGGCGGGTGTAGGAGGGTAGGCGGGTGTAGGAGGGTAGGCGGGTGTAGGAGGGTAGGCGGGTGTAGGAGGGTAGGCGGGTGTAGGAGGGTAGGCGGGTGTAGGAGGGTATGGCGGGTTGTGGAGGGTAGGCGTTGTGTAGGAGGGTAGGTGGGTGTGGAGGGTAGGCGGGTGTATGGAGGGTAGGCGGGTGTGGGAGGGTAGGCGGGTGTAGGAGGGTAGGCGGGTGTAGGAGGGTAGGCGGGTGTAGGAGGGTAGGCGGGTGTAGGAGGGTAGGCGGGTGTAGGAGGGTAGGCGGGTGTAGGAGGGTAGGCGGGTGTAGGAGGGTAGGCGGGTGTAGGAGGGTTGGCGGGTGTAGGAGGGTAGGCGGGTGTAGGAGGGTAGGCGGGTGTAGGAGGGTAGGCGGTGTAGGAGGGTAGGCGGGTGTAGGAGGGTAGGCGGGTGTAGGAGGGTTGGCGGGTGTAGGAGGGTAGGCGGGTGTGGGAGGGTAGGCGGGTGTGGGAGGGTTGGCGGGTGTAGGAGGGAAGGCGGGTGTGGGAGGGTAGGCGGGTGTGGGGAGGGTAGGCGGGTGTAGGAGGGTAGGCGGGTGTAGGAGGGTAGGCGGGTGTAGGAGGGTAGGCGGGTGTAGGAGGGTAGGCGGGTGTAGGAGGGTAGGCGGGTGTAGGAGGGTTGGCGGGTGTAGGAGGGTAGGCGGGTGTAGGAGGGTTGGCGGGTGTAGGAGGGTAGGCGGGTGTAGGAGGGTAGGCGGGTGTAGGAGGGTAGGCGGGTGTGGGAGGGTAGGCGGGTGTAGGAGGGTAGGCGGGTGTAGGAGGGTTGGCGGGTGTAGGAGGGTAGGCGGGTGTGGGAGGTAGGGGGTGTGGGAGGGTTGGCGGGTGTAGGAGGGAGGCGGGTGTGGGAGGGTAGGCGGGTGTGGGAGGGTAGGCGGGTGTAGGAGGGTATGCGGGTGTAGGAGGGTAGGCGGGTGTAGGAGGGTAGGCGGGTGTAGGAGGGTAGGCGGGTGTAGGAGGGTAGGCGGGTGTAGGAGGGTAGCGGGTGTAGGAGGGTAGGCGGGTGTAGGAGGGTTGGCGGGTGTAGGAGGGTAGGCTTGTGTAGGAGGGTAGGCGGGTGTAGGAGGGTAGGCGGGTGTAGGAGGGTAGGCGGTGTAGGAGGGTTGGCGGGTGTAGGGGGTAGGCGGGTGTAGGAGGGTAGGCGGGTGTGGGAGGTAGGCGTGTGTAGGAGGGTAGGTGGGTGTGGGAGGGTAGGCGGGTGTAGGAGGGTAGGCGGGTTGTGGGAGGGTAGGCGGGTGTAGGAGGGTAGGCGGGTGTAGGAGGGTAGGCGGGTGTGGGAGGGTAGGCGGGTGTGGGAGGGTAGGCGGGTGTGGGAGGGTAGGCGGGGTGTAGGAGGGTAGGCGAGTGTGGGAGGGTAGGCGGGTGTAGGAGGGTAGGCGGGTGTTTAGGAGGGTAGGCGGGTGTAGGAGGGTAGGCGGGTGTGGGAGGGTAGGCGGGTGTGGGAGGGTAGGCGGGTGTGGGAGGGTAGGCGAGTGTGGGAGGGTAGGCGGGTGTGGGAGGGTAGGCGGGTGTAGGAGGGTAGGGGGGTTGTAGGAGGGTAGGCGGGTGGGGGAGGGTAGGCGGGTGTGGGAGGGTAGGCGGTGTTGGAGGGTAGGCGGGTGTGGGAGGGTAGGCGGGTGTGGGAGGGTAGGCGGGTGTGGGAGGGTGGGGCGGGTGTAGGAGGGTAGGCGAGTGTGGGAGGGTAGGCGGGTGTAGGAGGGGTTAGCGAGGGAGAGTAAGTGTGGTAATTAGTGTTATTAAGCAGGTATCATTAGTAACCATTAAGTTAGCCAGGCTCCTAGAGACTCCAAACTTCTGGGTACACCGACCATCAGACGCTACCACTTGTTCCTGTCAACTGTGCTGACTGTCACCTGTGATGACTGTCACCTGTGCTGACTGTCACCTGTGCTGACTGTCACCTGTGCTGACTGTCACCTGTGATGACTGTCACCTGTGATGACTGTCACCTGTGCTGACTGTCACCTGTGATGACTGTCACCTGCTGACTGTCATCACACACACAGTCATCCTCCAACACACACACAGTCACCCACCAGAACAGTCACCATCTAACACACACACACACACACAGTCATCCTCCAACACACACACAGTCACCCACCAGCACAGTCACCCACCAGCACAATCACCCACCAGCACAGTCACCCTGGCATCCCAACATTCACTAGCCACACCGCAGTTTATTTTAGTGAGAGTTTAAAGTAGAGTGAGAGTCTTTATCCTGGTAATGCAGGTTGTCAACACGGCGGTCGAGGCTCAGCCTCGCTTGATAAAACTTTCGCAATAAAACACACGGGGCTGAGCACACGGCCTCGCTGGCCGTGTCTTTAGTCGCCACTGAACACGGCAGATGTGACTGACCCTCTTTAGTGAATGAAGAGGGCGGTAAACCCGTGTGGTTCATTTGGATACGAGGAGTGATGGAAGCTCGATATATATATATATATATATATATATATATATATGTATATATATATATATATATATATATATATATATATATATATATAAAATATATATATATATATATATATATAAATATAAAATATATATATATATTAATATATATATAATATATAATATATATATATATATATAATATATTAATATATTATAAATATTGGAGGATAGATGGGCTAATGAGAGCATAGGCAATGGGGTCGAAGAGGTATGGGGTAGGTTTAAAAATGTAGTGTTAGAGTTTTCCGCAGAAGTTTGGGTTACGGGCAAGTGGGTGCGGGAGGGAAGAGGAGCAATTGGTGGAATGATGATGTAAAGAGAGTAGTAAGGAAGAAAAAGTTAGTATATGAGAAGTTTTACAAGTAAAGTGTTTTCAAGGAGGGAAGAGTATATGGAAAAAAAGAGGGGGGTTAAAGAGAGTGGTGAAGCAATGTAAAAAGAGAGCAAAGGAGAGAGTGGGGAGATGTTATCAACAATTTTGTTGAAAATAAGAAAAAGTTTTGGAGTGAGATTAACAAGTTAAGAAGCCTAGAGAACAAATGGATTTGTCAGTTAAAAATAGGAGAGGAGAGTTATTAAATGGAGAGTTAGGGGTATTGGGAAGATGGAGGGAATATTTTGTGAATTGTTAAATGTTGATGAAGATAAGGAAGCTGTGATTTCGTGTATAGGGCAAGGGAAAATAACATCTTGTAGGGTGAGAAGAGCCAGTTGTTTAGTGTGGGGGAAGTTCGTGAGGCAGTAGGTAAAATGAAATGGGGTAAGGCAGCTGGGATTGATGGGATAAAGATAGAAATGTTTAAAGCAGGTGGGGATATAGCTTTGGAGTGGTTGGTGCTTTTATTTAATAATGTATGGAAGAGGGTAAGATACCTAGTGATTGGCAGAGAGCATGCATAGTTCCTTTGTATAAAGGCAAAGGGGACAAAAGAGTGCAAAAATTATAGGGGGATAAGTCTGCTGAGTATACCTGGTAAAGTGTATGGTAGAGTTATTATTGAAAGAATTAAAAGTAAGACAGAGAATTTGGACAGCAGATGAACAAGGAGGCTTTAGGAAAGGTAGGGGGTGGTGGACAGGTGTTTACAGTGAAACATAAAGTGAACAGTATTTAGATAAGGCTAAAAAGGTTTTTGTGGCATTTATGGATTTGGAAATATCGTATGACAGGGTGGATAGTGGGGCAATGTGGCAGATGTTGCAGGTGTATGGTGTAGGAGGTAGGTTACTGAAAGCAGTGAAGAGTTTTTACGAGAATAGTGAGGCTTTAGGTTAGAGTATGTAGGAAGAGGGAGAAAATTTCCCAATAAAAGTAGGCCTTAGACAAGGTTTTGTGATGTCAACGTGGTTTTTCAATATATTTATAGATTTTGGTTGTAAGAGAAGTAAAAGCGAGGGTCTTGGCAAGAGGCGTGGGGTTAAAAGATAAGAATCCACATAAAGTGGGAATTGTCACAGTTGCTCTTTGCTGATGACACTGTGCCTTGGGAGATTCTGAAGAGAAGTTGCCAAAAGGTTGTGGATGATTTGGTAGGGGATGTTTAA